CCCCCCCCCCCCCCCCAAGACTTTGCTGATGCTCAGAAAGGTTCTATCAGAGAAGGCCTGCTTTGATAAAGAATTTTTGGGGATTGTTGGCTTCGGGATGGATTATGGTTGGGTTCTAGCTGGCGAAAGAATCAGTATATATAGTTCAAGAGCCTCGAGTTTCTATATTGTTTGTGTCGTAGGCAACACTTTCGGCCTTTCGATTGTACCGTTATGGTTTGGTTTAGGGCTTAGGGTTCTATACATGGGAACCCTCTGAGCCGTACGTCTCACGAGGTTCGCCCTCGATGTGCATGGTGCCAGCTTCTCTGCGGCCCAGGAAATGGACCAGGGAAAAGGGATGGGGGAGTTGACACGTCGGACTACAGCACAGGTTCACTAAGATACTGTAGCCCGTTCTACAAGGCATGTGCACAGGCGGCTCCTGGGTGACAGGGTAGGGAAAGGGCTTTATAGGATTGATGGCTTACAAAGCTTCAGCGGGACATACATGTTTCAGCAGACCAAGAAGGTATACAGTCGGAACTTCCTTGTGTTGTTGTCCTTCTCCCTGCGTATCAAAGACCCGAGTTTAGGGCTTAGGGTTTAGAGTGTAGGGTTGCAGGATGCATCATTGCAAACCAAAGAACGAGAAGCTCTTCTTTCATGGCCATGACTTCTACATCGGCTTCCAGCGACAGGGTTTCTGCATGCGCAAGGAAGGCCCCATGCTCTAAAGTGGCCAACGACCACATATTGCTCCGAAGCGACATACTTCCTGCGAACTTCCCCAGGCCAGCCTAAAAACGTCCCTGACAGCCGCAGCAATGGTCAGACAGATGTGCACAAAACAGGCGTACGGGGTAAAACGCCTGAAGTACGCGAAATTACGCCTGAAGTACGGCTAATTACGCCTGAGTTTTTTGCTCAAAATACAAGCAGCACAGCTAAAACCTCAAACAACGATGCAATGTGGCTGAAATTTGTAACAAAACCCAGCTTAGAGGCAACTGCGCAACGGTAGTGGTATTCTTCCTCGATCCGCATGGCATGGTTCATGTCCAGGAAACACGACTTGAATTATGAGCAACTAACTGATTCGGCGACCTACCTAAGGCTCAGAAGCTCCTTCGGCTGAGGAGACATTTTCAAGAGTTTGGAGCACCTAGCATAATCGAAGACCGAGTAGAGTTCGGCATCGTTCCAGTCGTCATCAGGAAGGCGCTTCAGGAGGTCGATGAGAGTGTCGTGCTTTCGGTGGTGAGTTACCTTACTAACTTTCAGTACACTCACGAACCTACCTATAGTCTCCATTGTAGTTCCTTTTTGGGGTTACATTTTAGGATCCTGAATATATAATTGGTTAAACCCAAAAAAGGAACTACAATGGAGACTATAGCTAAACCTAAACCCTAAACCCTGAAGCTGCCCTGAGAACCAGCCAACCTCCTCTGGAAGGATCGGGCGCCGATCTGCGAAGTCCTTCTGCATCCGCAAGAGCTTGCCAGCAAAGCGAGGCGGATAACACCTGGGCAGCATAGCGCAGGACTGTCGATTGGTTCGTATATAAAACAGGCTTTGGACCTAGTGGGTTTCTAGGGCCTTTGGGGTTAGAATTTATGGTGTCGCATGTTTTGCAGCAGAGGGGCTCTGTACCTTTGAGCAAGGCTGTGCCGGTCCAAACATCTTTTCCGTTCTTCTTGCCCCTGCGTACTACCTTCTTCTTGTTCACGGCACCCTTCGGAAGCCCAGCAAAGAACAGCCCACGCAAAGCAGGTGATGTGCTCCAGCAAACGGTACGCTTGTAGTTGCTGTGATTGTAGATCTTCATCCAAAAGCTTTGCCTGTAAACCTCGGATGTAGAACCCTTCCCCTAACCCCGAACCATCTAGGAACGTAAGCAACCTGCACCCGAAAAGCCGTCCCCTCACCCCGAACCATCTAGGAACGTAAGCAACCTGCGCCCCAAAACGGGCCACCATAACCCCGAATCACCCATCAGCGTAAGCAACCTGGGACCACCAATTTGGTGAGCAGCCTGCGGTCCAGTGGAGCTTCTAGCTGGCTTTGGGGACATCCCCAGCTTACCATCAGCGTAAGCAACCTGCACCCCAAAATAAGACTGACACGAACAGAAGTCCATTAGCTGGCTAATTATACATAATGCTCTGCCACGACTGCAAAATCTTGGCTCGCTACAGGCCCTGAACCCTGAACCCATATAGACCCCTTGTAAAGACCTCTGGCCAATCCTCTATGATCATCCCTAAACTATCAGGGAAGGAATTCCCATCGGGCCCTAAGCTATCTCTGTATATATATATATATTTATTTATTTACCTACAGACAATCTAGTCAGGAATGTCGACAAGAAGCTGGGATTCCACATTGTTGCAATGCTTTCCTCGTCCAGACAAACCGGGGGTGCATATTTATTAGGGACGAAGCCGGGTTCTCGATGACAGGTACGATTTCCAAAGCCACCATGAGCAGCACGAGGAGCATGAACCTGTGCAGCAGGTGGGGCTTTCTGGGGTCCTTATTTTACGTAGTCTTTAGGCCAAGAAGGTTAATGATATCTGGAGCTTGCGGGGCTGGAGGATTTCAAAACCCATCCTGGCCAAGCACTTGTTAGCCCGGTAGACCGACAAATAGCCCGGATACCCCAACGGAGTCACAAGTGTTCTCATCGAAGTCCCTTTGTTAGTGGCCACATAAGAACTGCAGGGGTGACCGGCGACACATATCGCTTGGGAGATCTTTGCTTGCATCAGCATGAGGCAGTGCAGCCTGAGCGCACAAACCATGTGGTGACTGACGCTTTGATGCAGCCTATATAGGTATGATACTTGCAAGCTAGCAGCAGGAATCCGGCGTCGGTATTCAAGTCCATCGACTCATCGATGGACTTGTCCAAAGCCACAGCATGCTTCCCCAACCCTTTAGCCAAGCGTGACACACGAGAAGACCCAGCAAACATTTCCACTACGTCGAAGTGTTCACAGGGCCTCGCCACATCCATCGATGCGAGGAGCACCATTATCTCAATGAGCGCCTTCCAAGTAGGAGCTGGATCTTCAAAACATTTTCGTCCTAGAAGACACATGTGCTATTTCACTGGGCCTGCCTTTGGTGCCTGCATCCAAGCCAAACGCTTTATGACAAACTCATACTTGGGATGCAGGTCAGACCATGTGGAGCTGGGAGCCATTGCAGCTCAATCCACTGCCAGGCAAGGAAACTTAAGCACGAGGAAATTTAGGGCCAATAAACTCATTATAATTAGGCACTTATGCTTACATAGGGGACTAGGAGCTTTGTGAAAATCTAGGTTTTGGGAAGGGATAAGAACCTAGGTTTTGGGAAGGGAGTCGCTCACCTATCAGCCAAAAGCCCTGCGTTTCCAACCTGCTGCGGCCAGCTGATCTTCAGAAGAGGCTTTGCAAATTGCAAGTGAAGTCACTTTGGGGGAGCGTTGGGGATAGCATCGGACAGCAATGCTTCAGACAATCTGCACTGCACAGCACAGCGCACCCAAGGGGCACTCGAGGAAGCCAGCCTGTCTGTTTCAGGCCCAAGACCATATCGAGCATGGAGCGTACGACCAGGCCAGGCCCGCATCGCTTCATGACGTGGCACGAATAAGTGGATTGTCATCCTGACAGCTTGGGCTATTTAGCCGATTTCGGAGTCACAGCGCATGTCTCAGACACACACAACAGGAGTGGCTGGCAAGACTGGCAGAAGTCTCTCTTCTTTCGCAGAAGCCGAGAACCAGCACTCGTTGCACAAACTGAATCCCGGCACTATGCCAGGTTCAACGGTTGCAAGCTGCTTGCCAGCGGATGCAGGCAGAGATCTAGGACTGGTGGAGATGCACGTTTGCTTAGCTCGGCTTTGGATGCAGAATGATTCCATCTTGAATCCACACCAGTCTGTCTACTCCTACAGAAACCCCACGACTGGCATTGAGTCACCCAATTGTCAAAGTTGCAGGCAGCATAGCAGCCAGATAAAATCAAGCCTTCAAATATCCTCAGTAAATCTGCAGGCAGACCACAAGGTTGAGCAGTCGATTCTATAGTGTAGTAAGTGGAATGAATTCAATCAAGAGACCTTGGACATCCTCCAACAGAAGAAGAGACTTGGCACACTCGTTGCAAATCTTCGTCAACTTGGTCCCATCTTTCAAGCCCTGGAGGCTCTCCATCACGTGGCCCCAGAAGCGATCCTATCACGAAGCCGCGATGGAATAAACAACCACTGCATAAGCCGAGTCTTGACAACCTGCAGCTTGAAAACCCTGCACAACAGCGATAAGCCTAAGCCAGAAAAACTCCAAGTTTCAGAAACAAAGCGAGACAGAGAGACAGAGAGACAGAGAGACAGAGAGACAGAGAGAGAGAGAGAGAGAGAGAGAGAACGAGAGAGAGAGAGAACGAGAGAGAGAGAGGGAGGGAGAGCGAGCTTCCGTGCACTCCAACAACACTTGTACTCATGCACCGGCAACTACTGTAGTCCTCCAAGGACGATCGAAAGCGAAGCTTGGGAGCAATCAGCAGCTCGTAAGCCTCCCTGATTGCATTGAACCGTTGGATCGCCCACACATCAACCTTGGGCTTGGGGCGGCTAGCGAATGTTTTCTTCATGCCATCCTCCCCTTTCACACGCCTCTTCTTCTTGGCGGGCTCTGCACTGGCACCAGCACCCTCGAGTGCCGTCTCCGCACTCTCAGCCGGAGCATCCTCAGCTGGCGCCTGCGCGATCCCAGTCGGACCCGGCTCCGACTCAAGCTCGCCCTCTTCTGGATTTTCGGCTTCCTTCTTGGGACGACCCGGCCTTCTCTTCGGCGCCGGGATCTCGTCTTCATCCTGCTTGACCTTGGCTTTCGCCTTCGCTTTGGATTTGGCCTTGGCTTTGGCCTTGCCTTTGGCCACAGGCTCCTCCTGCTCCGTATCCTTACAGATAGCTGCCTTGAGGGCTGCAGCCGGCTTCACCTTGGCAGCCGGCTTCTTGAAGACTCGTGGCTCATCCTCGCCATCCTCTTCATCCTTATCCTCATCGTCAGTGCCTGTGCCACCGCTCTGCTTCAAGTCGTCCCTGGCTTCTATCTGCTGGTTCCGGCTGAGCTCGGTAGCGTCATAGAAGACATCATCTTCCATCCGATCCGGGGCAGGGGTTGGGGTCACTTCAGGCTTCTCTTTGGGAGCCTGCTGGCTCTCATCACCGCCCACAGCCCCCAAAGCAGGGTCCTCCTTCCGACCCGCTGGGCTGGTGTCATCGCCATCGCCCACAGCCGCCAAAACGAATTTGTTCTCAAGATTCTTGGCAATTGGAGACAAGTCGGCTGGGCACGTGTCCTGTGCATCCATCGAAGGCAGCGAGTTGCTCTGGAGAGGCCTCGCAACCGCCATTGCAGCAGACCGTTTCTGGATCTCCTGCCTAAGTCGCTCCAGATACAATGCGCGAACTCATTTCCGAGGCAAGCTCACACAATGGAGAAACCTGTGCATGTCTTATGTGTAACCGAGCTACCTGAGGAAATTCAACCGAGCAATACGAGCTGGCAGATCAACACCGCGGGGTCCAGGGGTACTGCGACATGGTGAATCACTGATCTCAAGAATCTCAGCCTTGCGGCGCTTGGCGGCAGCCTTGCTTGAGCTTGCCGGTGCTGGCCTCTTCACCGGCACATCTGGGCTGTTGAAGCTCAACTTCTCAAGATCCTCAGTCACACCTGATTTCAACGCTGGTGACAAAGCTGCAGCATCACTTGCCTCAGCAACGACACCCAGCTGCTTTGCAACAAGCAGCTCCGCATCCTTGGTCTCCTCATAACCATCCTCCAAAGGACACTCCGTAGATTCAGGCGTGACCTCTGAGTCACCCTCAAGGCTTTCCGAAGAGGCTTTCTTTCTCGGCTCCCAGTACTCGGAAACCAACTCATACAGCGTGCGAAGTGTCGCGATCTTGGCTGAGGCACAGAAACAAACTTGTGAGTGGGATCAAATTAAAGTCCTTTCGAGATAAGCAACCTGGCGTCGTGAGCCGTCGTGCCGCCGAATGATGTATGTCATGAACCCACGGAGAACCACCGCATCGCAATTGACACGCACTGGGTTGTCGGCCATCGAAAGATGATTGCGGAGTTCGTTCACCTAAGGAGTGGTGCCGTATACACGGCCTGCGATCTGCAATTTCGAACCCTGTCTGAAACTAGCTGTTGCTCAGCACTGGACCTGTTCTCTGGCATGCGGCACATAGATGGTTTTGGCCTCCTTCAGCTGGGGGCACCATAGTTGGACGAGGTGTGTTAGTACACGGATATTTTGGGCCATCGTCTTGAAATTGATGATGCCCACCGTCTTTTCATTTGGCCATCCAAACAGGGTGCCGTCCTTAAGCAGACGAGCGCGCACGACCTCGTCATTGCTGAGCTTTTCCCACAAGCCTGTGAGGTTAGCCTCAGGCTCTTCTTCCGCCTCGTCCTCCGGATCTATCTCCTCTACTGGCTTTGCAAACGGCCTTTCCAATTTTCCCATGGCTACTACGGCACCGCAATACCAGCAGCACTTGAACAAAAGACCTTCACAGACACACAAACGACAAGTTCAGCCATCCACTGAGGAACAGTTCTAGACAGGCCCGCGCACCTCTCTGAATAGCAGGAGGACCAGCAACCATCGCCAAGCCATGCCCCTGCGCAGACAAATCTAGTCTATCAGACTGACATCAAACTAGTAATTATTGGTGATGGTCACGTTTTGCATAGTGGCACATGGCATGTGCAGATTTCTTGCTTCATTGTTTTCACGACTGCCAACTCCCGTGCTCGTACCCCCGACTCATGAGAGAGGTCCAGCCGTGATGTCGCTAACACAAGAATGCCCAGCCGAGCCCTATGCTCCGTCAGGACTTGCCACCTTCGACTGACCTGGGCGGACGCAAGGGTGTAGATTACACAGCTGTTGCTGTACTATGCACACATGCGAGGCCCAGGCAGGCACTCTTTTGATACTTGTCAGCCAGCACAACCAAATGATAGACGATGCCCTTCTCACGATAGTTCTGTAGCAGCACCCAGCCAGCATCATTGGAGAGATGACCCTCGGAGCTTGTGCAAACGAAAAGCTGTGCTGGTGTCACTCCTAGCTTGCTCTACGAGTGCCTGTACCGGAGGCTTGAGGAACACCATCTCGTGGCATTGAGACCAGAATTGGTCAGGAAAGCAAAGCAAACCTGGCAGGGTACAGATTAAAAGACATGGTTTTTATTGGTACGGCAACATGAAGGTACAAGCTGTATGCCTTCACGAGAGAACTCTTGCACCAGGACGACGTTCATAAGGGCAAACATGGCCATGAGTTGACAAGGCCTCCTACGTCTATCTTTGGCTTTCTAGAAAAGCAGCTGCAATAGTCGCATCTGAACCGTGAACCAACACACTTTCAGCGCGACAAAGCTCGACTCACACAGAGGGATGGGGCGCACCTATGGCATGGTGCCATCCATTGCAACATCACCCCCACATGAGGGCATCGGCATCCAGCTTTGAGCCGGCTGCCATCATTTCTTTCCTTTCCCTACAGCAGGAGTCTTCTAGGGTTCTTAATGAGAGCAGTTGCAGGATTTGGATCAGTGTCGAGCATAGTTAGGGTAGAGGGACCGTACGATCTCAGTGTCACAAGTTAGAAGAACCCGACAAAACCCTGAAAACGATAAAACGCCCGCAGGCATAAAAAACGCCCGCGACCCTGTTCAGGCGCCTGAACACGAACAGGCGTAATATTCCGCCTGAGAAGAGGGTATAGGTAGAGCAGGTGGAGGACGGGGCACCA